TAGTTTGCTTTTCTCGTCTGGTCTTTATCTTTCTTCCGTTGGTATTTATAAGTATATTTAATTATGGTGGCACTGCGCTCCATCGGAACAGAGCCTTGCAATTTTCTTTTTTGTTTTTTCTTTCAACTTTTTCAAATATTTGATGATGGTTATTTTTCATAATTAGCAGTGTTCATAATTAGTCTTTATTATTGAAGGATATTTTTCTCTGGGGAGTTTGTCATAGACATTCGTTAGCTTGTAGAATCAATGTTCAGCATTCATAGGGACGTATCTTCTAAGAATATTTTTATGTGATTGTTCTTATACGCTTATCCGAGATTGCTCTATAGCATGATGAGCTGCGATTTGAAAATGAATTCCATTACCCAATATTATGTGTAGCCCTCCAACAGGTATTTCCCCTTTCTTTGTTTTCTCAGGGAGCATAGTGTGTTTACAGCGCCATTCCATCATCTTGACAAAGTAGGGCGTGTTGCAGTTTCTATAGTTGTTTCCATAGCATTTAGTATAAGAACTGCGTAGATTTGGTGACTTTCGCTATTGCATTTCTGAATGTTGTGTTTCTCCAAACCAATCTATTTTACGCGATAATCTTCTTCGATCCTCTCCTATCGGAGTTGGTGATCTGTCATGATAACGCCTGCGATCTATCTATAGACCTTTAAGAACTCGTTTTTCAAAAAACCTGTTCCAAAGGTGTTTATGTCGTGTTGTTATATTTTATCAACAAAATGCGAGTTCCCCATTCATTGGCGATCGTGTCAATTAATCTTCCAAAGAATTAGTTGCGATGAGGCTTAACTGTTTGGTAAGGACTACAGGTGCACGAAGGATGAGTAATCTCAAACTCATGGCGCTCAATAGCTCGAAACGAACAAACCTAGCGTGCATAAGTGTATCAGAAGTTTGATGGTTAATGCCTTTCTATGTTGCTACTTCTTCGACTTTCTTAGCACTGAGCCTTCTCTGTTTCTATAAATAAGCTTGTCTTATAAAATAACTGTGTCGATGAGTTTAGTAAATTTTCGTTGGCTACGTGGAACTCTCAACCGATTGGAATAAAATAAAAACTATTATTCAGCTCTAATGTTTGATTTAGGCATGTCCACCGTGCCCGAGCAGGATGAGTCGACACAGAAGATCATACTGCCTGAATCACACAGCTACAGTGGTAAAAACCTACCTCCACCGACGTCAAGTGGACAGCCAATCGATCTTCCTACAATCAAACACACGGTGGCTGATGGGGTTGAAGGTGGCTCAGAGCATGGCACTGCAGCTACTAGTAATGGAACGTGTTTTGGATTACTCGACAATGAGGAGGAAGAACGGCTTCTCGGTGATTCGGCAAAGCCTCTGCCATTCATCGATGACTCGTCTCGGTCAAGAGCCGGACGCAGCCCACTGTGAGTTCAAATTTGTAATTTCCTGTTTTGATTTGAATGGTTTAGCTGCTCTCCGGTAAGTGGCTCTTTTTATCTGCATAGCCTTTTTTTGCTCATTCCCATAGAATCACCAGCTGGGCTACGCACGCTAACGCATGCATCAGATGTCCGCAACCGCTTAACGCTTAGCTTAGATTTGTTAGTTGACATTATAACCAGTACCGGTAGACCCTCTATTTCATGACTGTTTCCTCAATGCGCCTACGTGACATTTCACACTCTTCATCGCGCTTACGTGACTTTTCGCGGACGAACGCACATACCTTCACGCAAAGTTAGCGCTTGATTTATGGAGAGAGATTAACCTGGTCCTTTGTTTGCAACCAACTTCATTCGACCCTCCTGATTAGGGTTTGGAAATCATAATAATATGGCAAGATTTGAGCTGGGCGTGTGTATAAAGTTTATGTTTCTAACAGCATTTCCTGATTCCCCGTTTCCATTTCGATTACAGCCACGTTTGATAAGCGAATCGTTTTCAAAATAGAAACCACTTCTCAGCTTTTGATACTGTAGCAGTCGCGATTCATATTGAGGTTCTGTTTGAACTGTAGCAACTGTTGTCCTTCTAGTCATCGATTCCCTTAATCAAGTGTCATCGGTGCCGGCGTTTGCTCGATCACTAGGCGACGTAGTCCGGCAGTCCTTCGCCAGGATCGCGAAAGGCATAAAATTTTTTAGCTCATGGTCTTGTAGGGAAGTTCAATTAAGGATCGGGGGTTTCCTGTAGATCGTTTGACGATCTGAAGGATCCATTCGTTAAAAACCGTCGCCTAATGCTTATCACAGGTAAAAGAACAGTCAGTTACAGATTTTTTTCTTGATAAAGTGGAAACTTCATACTTGTTCCGCATTAGCGCTTTTTAACGAGACCTCTAACACTGTCTTTCCCTTTGCGTGTCGCTGGCACATTGTCAGCATTTGTGCGGGACCAGTTTTCTCAAGGCATTGATTAAGGAGGGAGAAGATAGTGGAATATTCCGAAGAAGAACCATGAGAAGGAGTCCTATAAC